CGCCTGGGCCAATCGCTGGGCTTCTGCTGCCTTGGTGTCCTGATGAATCAGGAGAGAGGGACAAGGGAAAACAATGCATTCCTGAGTGGATTATGGAGATTATTTATTTATTTATTTATTTATTTATTTCGGTTGCTTCTACCCCGCCCTTCTCACCCCGGAGGGGACTCAGGGCGGCTTACAAAAGCAAGGCACAATTCGATGCCCGCATCACAAAACAGCAATAACATAAATAACATCAGTTAACAATTCTAGCAATAACATCAATTAACAGAAAACAATAATTATTGTAAGGCAAAAACAACCATAAAACCAATAAAACCAATACAAACCATTTCTCCTCATTCACGGTCAGCGTTTCACAATCTCAATCTCATAGATTAGGAAATGTCCAAGTGACCAGCAAATCCCCAAGGCCTATGAGCCAGCCTTATTATTGTCCTTGAGTGGCTGCAATAAACATTGATGTTTGGCTATCCTGCCATAATCCGGATTTTTCCAGTGCTGAGACATAGGAACAATGGGGAAACTTTGGTGGATGTTTTGGTGAGAGAGAGGTTGAATGGGTGACAGATTAGGATGAGGTGCGGCTTTCCGAAGGCCTCTTCCGTCCTATTGAGATATAATCAAAATTGCCAAATGGCCGCTCCCTCTGGGGACCAAACTCTGAGCCCAGAGGTCACGATCCTTTGTTATTGCCCATGCAAAGAGTGTCTTCTGATAAGGGTCTTTTCAACTGGTGATTTCCTTCTTTCCAGGGTCATGCAGGGGTGGCTGCCTTGTATTTTTATACATTTTTCAATAAAGGGGAATTGGGCAAAAGGGTTGGGAAAAGGTCAGATACACGGGGAGGAATATAGAAATATAGAAATCATGTTATAGAAAATATACCCACTAACCCCTCCCACCAGAGTCCCATTTGTTTGTTGTCGTGTCAGGGCAACCAGTCAATTGTATTACATTTCTAACAGAACAAAACAAACAGACAAAATACAACATTTGCAAGTTTGGTAGTTGATTAAATGTCCATTGTGCATGTGGCAGGGCTCAGGGTGCATTGCAGCAGGTGGTCAGTGGTTTGCTCTTCTCCACACTCGCATGTCTGATTTTCCACTTTGTGGCCCCCTTTCTTAAGGTTGGTCTGCATCTTGTGGTGTCAGAGCGCAGTCTGTTCAGCGCCTTCCAAATCGCCCAGTTTTCTGTGTGCCCAGGGGGTAGTCTCTCATTTGGTATCAGCCATTGGTTGAGGTTCTGGGTTTCAGCCTGCCACATTTGGACTCTCGCTTGCTGAGGTGTTCCAGTGAGTGTCTCTGTAGATCTTAGAAAACTATTTCTAGATTTAAGTCGTTGACGTGCTGGCTGATACCCAAACAGGGGATGAGCTGGAGATGTCTCTGCCTTGGTCCTTTCACTATTGGCTGCTACTTCCCGGCAGATGTCAGGTGGTGCGATATCGGCTAAGCAGTGTAATTTCTCCAATGGTGTCGGGCGCAGGCACCCCGTGATCATACGGCATGTCTCATTAAGAGCCACATCCACTGTTTTAGCATGGTGAGATGTGTTCCACACTGGGCATGCATACTCAGGAGCAGAGTAGCATTACGCAAGGGCAGATGTCTTCACTGTGTCTGGTTGTGATCCCCAGGTTGTGCCAATCAGCTTTCGTATGATATTGTTTCTAGCACCCACTTTTTGCTTGATGTTCTGGCAGTGCTTCTTGTAGGTCAGAGCACGGTCCAGAGTGACTCCCAGGTATTTGGGTGTGCTGCAATGCTCCAGTGGGATTCCTTTCCAGGTCATAATCCTCAGAGCTCGGGATGCTTGTCTGTTCTTAAGGTGAAAGGCACATGTATGTGTTTTAGATGGATTAGGGATCAGCTGGTTTTCCCTGTAATAGCCAGTAAGAGCACCTAGAGCTTCGGAGAGCTTCTGTTCAACCATCTCAAAGCTCCCTGCTTAAGTGGTGATGGCACAATCATCAGCACAGATGAAATTCTCTGTCCCTTCTGGCAGTGGCTGGTCATTTGTGTAGATGTTGAACATAGATGGAGCAAGCACGCTCCACTGAGGCAGGTCGTTCTTCAGTTTCCGCCATCTGCTTCTCTGGCCCTGGAACTTAACAAAAAAGCTCCTGTTTTGTAGCAGGTTTCCTATGAGGCGGGTGAGATGGCAGTCCTTTGTGATATTATACATTTTTCTCAGGAGGAGGCGGTGGTTCACAGTATCATAAGCCACTGACAGGTCTATGAAGACAGCTCCTGTGATCTGCTGCCTTTCAAAGCCATCTTCTATGTGCTGCGTCAGGTTCAACACTTGCGATGTGCAGCCTTTCCTGAAGCCAGCTTGCTGTGGGATCAGACAGGGGTCTATTTTTTTCCATAATTCTTTGCAAAAATTCTATTCTGGTTATGAAAGCCTTTGACAACACTCTGCACATGCTTTTGTTACTCCTTGTGGTTTGTTCCATATGTAAAAGGCCATAATCCGGATTTTTTCCAGTGCTGAGACATAGGAACAATGGGGGAACTTTGGTGGATGTTTTGGTGAGAGAGAGGTTGAATGGGTGACAGATTGGGCCGAGGTGCGGCTTTCCGAAGGCCTCCTCCGTCCTATTGAGATATAATCAAAATTGCCAATTGGCCGCTCCCTCTGGGGGCCAAACTCTGAGCCCAGAGGTCACGATCCTTTGTTATTGTCCATGCAAAGAGTGTCTTTTGATAAGGGTCTTTTCAACTGGTGATTTCCTTCTTTGTTGTTTAGAGATGTAATTATGCGGGATTAACACAACGGTGTTTTGGTTTGCAGCTGTCTGTCTGCCTCCCTCCTTTGGCCATAAGTGTGGACCTTTGGAAGCAACCGTGCGCCACCATGGCCGCTGCACTCCAGGCCCTAAGCGATGACATTGTTGTTACTCTTGTTGTTGCTGTCAAGCCTGAAATGTATTTGTTAATTGCTTTCCGCCCACCAGGACTTCCCCAAGCGATGCCAATAAACTCTATATAAATTACACTGTTGGAAAGCACAGCACTAGCAGTTTTACAAACCAAAGGCCATGCAAAACAATAACCGTTTTGACCACCGCACTCGAAGGTCAACAAGAGGCTGCACAAATTCAAGCCGTTGCATGACTTGCTGGCCAACTTATGGGATGGGGGTGAAAGGCTGTTAGGAAGGGGTATGGAATATCGGATCCCGAAAAGGGGTTGGCACTTGGCAGCCAGAACAGAAGTGATCTCTGTGGCAGTGTTATGCTATGTTACACAGAACGGCAGACTTGTGAAAAAGAATTCAGCGACTTGTAAAAAGAGGAGGCATGGTGAGAAGGAGTTCATTTCCCTTCCCTCTTTGAATGCTCCCTCTCCAATGAATTTTCTCCCTAGAGCAGGAGTCTCCCTTGGCTATCTTTTCAGCACCAAAAGGAAGGAGTTTTTTTTTTTGCTACTGCAATCTGCATATCCAGATTGAAGTGTCGCGTGTGTATATTTGCACTTTATTTTGTGTTTTGAATTGCTCATGTAAATAGCATGCCCACACCTGAAATATCCATCTCAACATGACAATTTTTGGGTTGTTGTAGGTTTTTCCGGGCTATATGGCCATGTTCTGGAGGCATATTCTCTCCTGACGTTTCGCCTGCATCTATGGCAAGCATCCTCAGAGGAAGTGAGGTCTGTTGGAACTAGGAAAAAGGGTTTATATATCTGTGGAATGACCAGGGTGGACAAAGGACTCTTGTCTGCTGGAGCTAGGTGTGAATGTTTCAACTGACCACCTTAATTAGCATTTGATGGCTTGGCAGTGCCTGGGGCAATCTTTTGTTGAGAGGTGATTAGATGTGCCTGATTGTTTACTCTCTGTTGTTTTGCTGTTGTAATTTTTGAGTTTTTTTTAATACTGGTAGCCAGATTTTGTTCATTTTCATGGTTTCCTCCTTTCTGTTGAAATTGTCCACATGCTTGTGGATTTCAATGGCTTCTCTGTGTAGTCTGACATGGTGGTTGTTGGTGGTCCAGCATTTCTGTGTTCTCAAATAATATGCTGTGTCCAGGCTGGTTCATCAGGTGCTCTGCTATGGCTGACTTCTCTGGTTGAAGTAGTCTGCAATGCCTTTCATGTTCCTTGATTCGTGTCTGGGCAATGCTGCTGCGTTTGGTGGTCCCAATGTAGACTTGTCCACAGCTGCATGGTATATGGTAGACTCTTGCAGAAGCGAGAGGATCCCTCTTGTCCTTTGCTGAACGGAGCATTTGTTGGATTTTCTTGGTCTGTAGATAGTTTGTATGTTGTGTTTCCTCATCAGCTTCCCTCTGCGGTCAGTGGTTCCCTTGATGTATGGCAAGAACCCTTTTCCTCTGGGTGGATCTTCATCTTGACTCTCGTGGCTTCTTCTCGGTTGTCTTGCAGCTCTTCTGATGTCTGAGGTGGAGTCTCCATTGGCCTGGAGAGCCCAGTTGAGGTGGTTCAGTTCATCTTGGAGGAGGTGGGCTTCGCAGATCCTTTTTGCACGGTCTGCCAAGGCTTTAATGGTGCTTCTTTTTTGACTTGGGTGATGGTTGGAGTTTTGATGTAGATATCTATCTCCATGTGTGGGTTTTCTGTAGACGGTGTGACCCAATTGTTGATCTGGTTTGCGGATGACTAGGACATCTAGAAAACGCAGTCTTCCTTCATTTTCTTTTTCCATGGTGAACTGGATGTTTGGGTGGATGCTGTTAGGATGGTCCAGGAACCTGTTGAGTTCTTCTTCTCCATGGCTCTAAATGGTGGTGTCAGACACATATCGGAACCATATTGTGGGCTTTTTGGTTGCTGTTTCCAGCAACTACTGTGTGCTTACACTTCAAAATTACCTAGGGCCGGCCCTGCTCTGCTCTCAAATGTCTATTCATGCCTTGTGCTCCATTTTAGAACTGGGGTGGGAATTTTGTATCTCAGAATGAAATTTAACGGCCTGTTTCTCCTTTCCTTCCCCATCCGCTTCCCTGTCTGTGTTCCTGCAGAAGAACTTACGATGGAAGGTGAGTACAACCTTTCCTTAATGTTTCTTATTCTTTGTTTAGGGGCTCGGGGTTGGACAGAAGGGATTTCTTTACATTGTGGATAAAGTTGCTGTGTGTTCCAGAACGTTGTCTCATGGAAGGGTTTACTTCTCATGTTTGATAGACCCCTTCACTGAAGATCTGATCTGTGCTCCAGAAAGATTAAAGGGACTAAGAATACTGTTGATAATGCAAACAAAGACGGAATTGGAAACCACTTTCTTATTTATTTCTTTCTGCTAATATTCTTTTTGCAGATGATATATTATTAGTGTGGATGATGCTTCGGGGGGGGGGGGGKGTATATTCATGAAGGCGGTAACGGGGAAGCTGTGGCAGTCCTGGGAAGGGAGTTTTGATGTAGGTACGAAACATCTTGAGTCAACCAAGTGTCGAAACATCTTGAAACATCTTGTCGAAACATCTTGAGTCAACCAAGTGTCTATCTTTGGGCATTTTCCATCCGTGAGCTATGGGGCGTCTTCCTAATCTATGTTTTCTTAAAATAAGGTGATAGCTTCCATGTTAGTTGGACAATAAATCTGCTCCAGGTATTGCTCTGAGCAGTTCAAAGTATTCCACCAGGTTATTTATTTTATGTTTTATATAAATTAATATTTTATAATAAATTTTTATATAAATTTTATATTTTATATAAATTAATATTTTATATAAATTAATATATTATATTATGTAACATTATTATATTATATTATATTATATTATATTATATTATATTATATTATATTATATTATATAAATTAAGAATACAATTCTAATGGCTGCCAGTCCAATTCCGAGCACAATTCAGAGTGCTGGTTTTGACCTATAAAGCCCTATACGGTTCTGGCCCAGCTTGCCTTTCCGAATGTATCTATGTTCTACCTTGAAATTTGAGATCTTCTGGGGAGGCCCCACCTTTGGTGCAAACACGGTTAGTGGGAATGAGGGACAGGGCCTTCTCGGTGGTGGCCCCCCACCTGTGGAACTCACTCCCCAGCGAAATCAGGCCAACAACGTCCCTCCCCGCCTTCAGGAGGAAATTGGAAATGTGGTTATGGGACCAGGCTTTTGGGTAGCTGGCGGATAATTGACAATGGTAATAAATATGATGTTATGGAAAATGGACTATGGACAGGCTTCCGATTGTGTTGTGCTCACTGAATTTGTTTCTACATAAGGCTAGACCTTGAAGGAGCTGGGGGTGGTGATGGCTTCCGATTGTGTTGTGCTCACTCAATTTGTTTCTACATGAGGCTAGACCTTGAAGGAGCTGGGGGTGGTAACGGCTTCTGACTGTGTTGTGATCACTCAATTTGTTTCTATGTAAGGCTAGACCTTGAAGGAGCTGGGGGTGGTGACGGCTTCCGATTGTGTTGTGCTCACTGAATTTGTTTCTACATAGGGCTAGACCTTGAAGGAGCTGGGGGTGGTGACGGCTTCTGATTGTGTTGCGCTCACTGAATTTGTTTCTACATAAGGCTAGATCTTGAAGGAGCTGGGGGTGGTGACAGCTTCTGATTGTGTTGTGCTCATTGAATTTTTTCTACATAAGGCTAGACCTTGAAGGAGCTGGGGGTGGTGACGGCTTCTAATTGTGTTGTGCTCACTCAATTTGTTTCTACATAAGGCTAGACCTTGAAGGAGCAGGGGGTGGTGAAGGCTTCCGATTGTGTTGTATTCATTGAATTTGTTTCTACATAAGGCTAGACCTTGAAGGAGCTGGGGGTGGTGATGACCGACAGGGAGCTCTGCTGTGGGCTGGTCCATGAGGTCACAAAGCGTCGGAAACGACGGAACGAATTAACAACAACAACAACAACACTAGACAGCCAGTACTATTGCACTTTTTATTAATGCACTTTTTATTTTAAAACTAATTTTGAAATCAATTTATTGTGTTTTTATATATATTACGGTATGTATTATTTATAGGTAATGGCATCAAATTGTGCCGGATGTAAGCCGCCCTGAGTCTCATCCCCTCCCTCTTGGGGGTTGAGAAGGGCGGGGTACAAATGTCTCATCCAGTCTCAGCCACTGATAGAGGTTCTGGGTTTTCACCTGCCACTTTTGGACTCTTGCTTGCTGAGGTGTTTTTGCAAGTAGTACTCAGGAAGCTGTTTCTTGATTTAAAGCGTTGGCGTGCTGACTGATATCCAAACAGGGATGGGCTGGAGATGTCACTGCCTTGGTCCTCTCATTATTGACTGCTACTTCCCGGTGGTGCAATACCGGCTAAGCCAGTGTTTCTCAACTTGGGAGTCAGGACCCCTGGGGGGGGGGGGGTCGCAAGGGGATGTCAGAGGGGTCACTGAAGACCGTCAGAATACACAGTGTTTTCTGTTGGTCATGGGGGTTCTGTGTGGGAAGTTTGGCCCAATTCCATCGTTGGTGGAGTTCAGAATGCTCTTTGATTGTAGGTGAACTATAAATCCCAGCAACTACAACTCCCAAATGTCAAGGTCTATTTTCCCCAAACTCCACCAGAGTTCACATTTGAACATACTGCGTTTTCATGCCAAGTTTGGTCCAGATTGATTATTGTTTGAGTCCACAGTGCTCTCTGGATGTAGGTGAACTACAACTCCCAAACTCAAGGTCAATGCCCACCAAACCGTTCCAGCATTTTCTGTTGTTCATGGGAGTTCTATGTGCCAAGTTTGGTTCAATTCCATTGTTGGTGGGGTTCGGAATGCTCTTTGATTGTATGTGAACTATAAATCTCAGCAACTACAGCTCCCATATGTCAAGGTCTATTTTCCCCAAACTCCACCAGAGGTAACATTTGAACATATTGAGTTTCCATGCCAATTTTGGTCCAGATTGATCATTGTCTGAGTCCACAGTGCTCTCTGGATGTAGGTGAACTACAACTCCCAAACTCAAGGTCAATGCCCACCAAACCGTTCCAGCATTTTCTGTTGGTCATGGGAGTTCTATGTGCCAAGTCTGGTTCAATTCCATCGTTGGTGGAGTTCAGAATGCTCTTTGATTGTAGGTGAACTATAAATCCCAGCAACTACAACTCCCAAATGACAAAATCAAAGTATTCCACCCGGTTATTTATTTATTGTGTCAGAAGTAAATTAAGAATACAGTTCTAATGGCTGTTTCATCGTAGTGAGGTGTATTCCTGCAGAATATGCTGCGTGTATATTTAGAAGCAGAGAAGCAAAGTGCAAGGGCAGATGCCTTCGCTGTGTCTGGTTGTGATCCCCAGGTTGTGCCAGTCATATTATTTCTAGCACCCATTTTTTGGTTGATCGTCAAGCAGTGCTTCTTGTAAGTCAGAGCACAGTCCAAGGTAACTCCTTGTATTTTGTGTCCAGTGGGATTCCTTCCCAGGTAATATTTAAATGACTAATATTTAAATGACCAATATTTAAATGACCAATATTTAAATGACCACTTCCCTATGCCCTATACAAACGCATCTTGCAACACAAAATATTCTGATTATCCCTTTGCTTTTTGATCTGGCGTAGTTCTAAAGTGCCTTGTAAATCTGTATTTTGGTTACTTGCGTACACTTTTTTTTTCATTCTGAAGTTTGGTTCTCACATCTTTGTATAACCTTGCTCAGAAGATCCATATGCAATTTTTCTAATACTGTATATCACATTTGAACGTCGGTTTCGCCAATCAACGTCAGGGTTTCCGTCGAGTGACAGACAAAACGGATCCAATTGGCGTTGTCTCCGTTTCGCAATCATTTTGTCCCAATTTGCACATCAGTTGCTGTTTTCTTTTCCCCGTCCAAACCCAAACTGTGCGTCTTAGCATGCACGTTGCTCCTAATGTACAATTTATGTACATCATTATGCTTAAGCACACCTTCTCGGGCAACCAGTCCCACGCGCAAAGACAATGTTATTTTTGCAAATACATGCTTTCTTGGGTGCACTTTCCTCTTTGCTTTTGACTTTCCACTTAGTTACCCGTCTTATCTAGAGCTTATCGTTCATAAGCATGGGCAAACTTTGTCTCTCCGAGTGTTTTGGACTTCAACTCCCACAATTCCTGGCCTCAAACCCCTTCCTTTCCCCCTCAGCCACTTAAGCTGGGTTGCTATGAGTTTTCCGGGCTGTCTGGCCATGTTCCAGAAGCATTCTCTCCTGACATTTCACCCACATCTACAGCAGGCACCCTCAAAGCTTGAGAGATTCTGTAGGAAATTAGGCAAGTGGGGTTGATATATCTGTGGAATGATGTCCATGGTGGGAGAGAAAACTCTTGTCTGTTGGAGGCAAGTGGGAATGTTGCAATTGGCCACCTTGATTAGCATTGAATGGCCTAGCAGCTTCAAAGCCTGGCTGCTTCCTGCCTGGGGGACTCCTCTATCTATCTATCTATCTATCTATCTATCTATCTATCTATCTATCTATCTATCTATCTATGGAATAATGTCCAGGGTGGGAGAAAGAACTCTTGTCTAATTGAGGCAAGTGTGAATGTTGCAACTGGCCACTTTGATTAGCATTGAATAGCCTTGCAGTTTCAAAGCCTGGCTCCTTCCTGCCTGGGAGAATCCCCCCCCCCTCTCTATATATATCTGTGGAATAATGTCCGGAGTGGGAGAAAGAACTCTTGTCTGTTGGAGGCAAGTGGGAATGTTGCAATTGGCTACCTTGATTAGCACTGAATAGCCTAGCAGCTTCAAAGCCTGGCTGCTTCCTACCTGGGAGAATCCTATATATATATATATGTGTGTGTGTGTGTGTGTGTGTGTGTGTGTGTGTGTGTGGAATAATGTCCAGGGTGGGAGAAAGAACTCTTGTCTGATTGAGGCAAGTGTGAATGTTGCAATTGGCCACCTTGATTGGCATTGAATAGCCCTGCAGCTTCAAAGCCTGGTTGCTTCCTGCCTGGGGAATCCTATATATATATATATCTGTGGAATAATGTCCTGGGTGGGAGAAAGAACTCTTGTCTGTTGGAGGCAAGTGGGAATGTTGCCATTGGCCACCTTGATTGGC